AATCACCATTACCCTACTTATTCCTGAAAGCCCACGGAACCTGATGTTTATTAAATGCTGCTTGCTCCTTAGAAGTCTCTCTCCCCCTCCCATTTAATAATCATTCTTTATAGAAAATGACAGTAGAGAGAACGCCTTTGAAGCGGTGACATTGCAGAGATGAAAAGTCCCCCATTCTGGGTAATTTAGTGTGAGTGATCTGCCATTGTCGGGTGGAAATGCTGCACTCACCCACCTCTACTAATGGGGCATAAATATTTCACGTGCACCCGGCCTAAGTCCACAGGGGCTTATTTAACAAGGCAGCGAAGAGAGCCATGGTGTGCAGTAACCCACGGCAACCACAGATGACCCCCCCGCCCCCTTGGTTACACATCCAGGGGTCTGATCACATCCACTCAGACCCCCCTTACACAACCCTCTCCGGCCTGTGTGGTCTAATCTGCCTATCGCAGCCTATAGCGTTGTCCTGCGCCAAGCCAAAGGGGGCCGTTATGCGTCAGCATTTTATCAGCCGATAAGCATTAAACCAGACAAAATCTTTGCAACCAGACCAGTTGCCCAATTTGATGGCTCATGAGTCAAACCGGACATAATAGGCCTTGTCATGTGATCACATGATTCCAACCATTTTTTCACCAGCTTCTGATCGCAGAATTATTAAATAAGATCAAAGGATCGCAGCGACGGTCTGGACGCAATTTTAAAAAAAAATACCATTACTAGTTTCCAATGACAGGTCGCCTTGACCCGTGCAGGGATTTTGCTAGCCATGAGAAGACAACTGGTGATGGGTTGCTATGGGTGACAGCAGTCAGCCATATTATACATACATACATATATATATATATATATATATATATATATATATATATATATATATATATATATATATATATATATATATATATATATATATATATATATATATATATATATATATATATATATATATATATATATATATATATATATATATATATATATATATATATATATATATATATATATATATATATATATATATATATATATATATATATATATATATATATATATATATATATATATATATATATATATATATATATATATATATATATATATATATATATATATATATATATATATATATATATATATATATATATATATATATATATATATATATATATATATATATATATATATATATATATATATATATATATATATATATATATATATATATATATATATATATATATATATATATATATATATATATATATATATATATATATATATATATATATATATATATATATATATATATATATATATATATATATATATATATATATATATATATATATATATATATATATATATATATATATATATATATATATATATATATATATATATATATATATATATATATATATATATATATATATATATATATATATATATATATATATATATATATATATATATATATATATATATATATATATATATATATATATATATATATATATATATATATATATATATATATATATATATATATATATATATATATATATATATATATATATATATATATATATATATATATATATATATATATATATATACACACACACACACACATATAGATCAGGATTGCTGGGATTGAATACATGTGTCTAGCTGAGATGTGCTGCACTTGCTATACTAATATATACATATATATACACACATATAGATCAGGATTGCTGGGATTGAATACATGTGTCTAGCTGAGATGTGCTGCACTTGCTATACTAATATATACATATATATACACACATATAGATCAGGATTGCTGGGATTGAATACATGTGTCTAGCTGAGATGTGCTGGGCTTGCTATACTCATATATACACATGTAGATCAGGATTGCTGGGATTGGATACATATGTCTAGCTGAGATGTGCTGGACTTGATATACTCATATATACATATACACACACATATAGATCAGGATACACTGTGTCTAATATATACTGTGTATATAGATGACAGATGACAGTTGCAGTAATGCTGCCATGGACTGTGTGACAGGTGCTCCTATAACAATGCATTCCCTATGTGCTCCCACTATCCTGTCCATGCAGAAAGTAGCAGTCACCGTAGGCAGATGTCAGCTTGCAGCGTGCCCTCTGCACACAGGCTCCCCCATGCACATGCCTCGGCTGTCATCTGATGCAAGGTGTGTGTCTGTGTCCATCTTACCCGAAATCCTGGTCCATGGATTTGAAGAAGAATTTATAATTGTGGACGGGTCTGTTGCTGAGCACATTCTTGAAATCGGCTAGGGTGACTTTGTCCGGGCAGACGGGCAGCTTCACCAGGTAGGGGGTCTCCTCTTCATCTATATGGTAGATGATTTTAGTCTCAGCCATGGGCAAGGAAAAATGTCATAGGAGGGGGGTGCACCCCCCACCCCCCCTAAATTGCAGAAGGCTTCCCCTCCTCTTTTCTTTTTTTTTTGGAAGGCAGGACGAGGGCTCAGGCCGGACTCATGTTGGGGTGACTAGGCAGCCAGAAGCCGGGCTCTTCTCCGTGCCAGGCACTCAGCAGGATCTGACAATCCGATGTTCCAGGGCAAAACAGGAAGGGAGATGCAGAATCCTGATCCTGAGTGTACGGGGAAATGGCTGCGGAGGGGGCACTCTGATCCCAGCAGCGCCCTCTAGCGGCGCTCCGCGGTAACTGCACCTCTCACTTTTCTACCGTAGAAGTGTGTGCACAGACTCAGTCCAAAGTCAATACACTTCCTGCATGTTCCCTGCACTCATCCTCCTCTCATGTGCTGCTGCTGCTATTAACACTGACCTTTAAGTGTATTTATTTATTTTATGGCAAACATCTACCGTGCATTATAGGCATTGCGATTATTTTGCAGTGAAACAGGTTTCCCAACCTTATTGTACCGTGGAGAAACCCTTCAAATCATATGTTTTTTAATCACAAAAATGATTATGCAATTAAGGGCCCATTCACACCAAAGCATTGCGTCATCATACCGCGTGCTGCACCGCAACACATGGCAGAGGTGCATTGGGGGGCCATTTAATGTAATGCACCTAATAGAAGACATGTTGTCCTCAGACCTTATGACACTTTGCCCGACGAAGGGACCCTGCGCGGTTCTGAAACGTCGCAATATTTCAGAAGGCAATACGGCGAATGATATAGGGGAACGTGGTTCTTGGAGCTAATGTTTACAAGATCATGTTTTTGGTGTATGTATTTATTGATCTATCTATCTATCTATCTATCTATCTATCTATCTCTATCTACTCTAAAAATCTATCTACCCTATTCAAGAGGTGGCGGCGGCATCTGGGTGCCCCCTTTAAGAAAGGGGGCACCCAGATTCCTATAAGCCTCCCTGCCAGCAGACCCCCACAACCCTGGCCCAGTGGTTATGGGGAAGAGGCACTTGTCATTGATATGGGGACAAGGTGCTTTGCCAGGGGGGGTGATGGCAGGATTGAATTCGGTTGCCGCGGGCAACAGAAAATTGTTGGTTTCAAACACTTGTCATACACGAGACCGGGCATTCTTCACCCGCCGATAAGAAGGAGCCAGATTACAGAAGTCAACATGAATACAAATGAGTCCGAGCGATGTGTGACTCATAAGATGGCTTATGTCAGCATTGTAGTTGCTGTGATATATTGATAATTGGGCCCTTTATAAACCTGTTTATAGGAAGACGGCCAGTATAAATGTTCCATCGTCCGCCATCATTCATCCATTTACAGAAAGGGATTGGTCATCGGTCTCTCCTCCATCTAAGCAGCACACAATACAGTACGAATTATGTCAACATGTTCAGTCTTCTGTAGAACTAAACCCTGACTGGATGACATTGAGGCCAGATTCACGCCTAACCATTGAGGTGTGTCACGGTAAAGCATGCGCCGCTGCTCGTTAACACCATGCTTTAACATGCACTTCGTTAGGCAGCCCCTTCAAAATGAATGGACAGGCAGCGCACCTCAATGGCCTGCAGCACGCTACAAAGCACCATCGTACATTGTGACAAATTGGAGGAATTTATCAAAACTTGGACAGAATCTGGAATTCGGTTCCTATTTCAATTTTCTCAGTGAAGCTTTGAAAATGAAGGAGAAAAGCTGATTGGTTGCCATGGGCAACTGCTCCAGATTCTAACAGGCACAGGAACGCGCACCAGTGGCTTCACAAGGGCCGCACCCAAGTGACACAATTGGAGGGGTAAAGGATGGACTGCGGCACTCCAAAGCAAGTTCAGTACGTGTTTATGAACGTACTAGTTGCAAGTAGAACACTTTAAACAACGTTTCGGGGTCTCACAGGATCCCCTTCATCAGCCAAAGAAGTGATTCAAGTCATCACTTGTATGCCTGATGAAGGGGATCCTGTGAGACCCCGAAATGTTGTTTAGAGTGTTTTACATGCAACTAGTACGTTAATAACCACTTACTGAACTTGCTTTGGAGTGCCGCAGTCCATCCTTTACTTATATTTTGTTGGGAAGCCACCCGCTGACACCTGATGCACCCACCTTCCATTTTTGGAGTAGCGGCTCTGAGTGCAATGGGTACATTGGAGGGGTGACACCAAAATGACTTTTGGTGTAACTCCCTCTAAAAAGTCGTGCACTCGGTCATGGACCGACAGCCCGACAGTGTCAGGAGAGAGGAGGGGACCCGGCGGCATACCTCATCCCACCTGGTGAACATCCCCTCCTCTCTCTGCATGCGTCCATAACTAAGATGACCGCCGGCAGGCGTCAATTAGATGACCGCGCATGCGCGATGATGTCATCTCGCACGTGTGCAATGACATCACGGCACGGTGTCACCCGGTCTCGGCTCCAGGTGGTGACACCTGGCCTCGGGAAGCCACTGACGTTCACGGTACTTCAGTGCATTAATGTGAACGGGGTTTTGTACTGTGGGGGAAATTTATCAAAACTGGAGCAGACACATCCTGTAATCATGTCAATGGCACAGCAGACACGCCCCTCGCTCACAGGATGATCAACAGGTACAGGAATGCCCTCCGTTCCAGTGCAGTGTGATCTGAAAAAATAGTGCATGCAGCATTTTTTCAGATCGCCCTGCACTGGAACAGAGGGCATTCCTGTACCTTGCATTCCGGTGCGTGCGATCGCACTGCGGGCGGGGGCGTGTCTGCAGTGCAATTTACGTCAATGTCACCGAAACACCCCTGGATTACATAGATCAAGCACCCGGCTTCATCTATGTAATCCAGTGCGTTCAGGGCTTAAACCGCACCAGAACGCACTGGATATAGTGTGGCTGGGCCCTGAAGGTAGAAGCTGATTGGTTGCCATGGGCAACTGCTCAATATTCTGTCTGCTCCAGTTGTAATAAATTCCCCCAAAGTGTACCATAAATCATTTCCATATGTATTCATCTTTTTTTTTTTTGTTTGTTTGCATTTCACTGCCACCGATTAGTAATGTGCATGGGCTTCAACCGAGTTCATCTGGGTTTGCGTAAAAGTGTCTGGCGGGGCGGAGACAAGAGCAGAGCTGTGAGAGGAGCACAGCAGGCTCCACCTACTACAGGCTGCCTGCAGAAAACTGCAGGAGTGGGCGGAGACAAGACCAGAGCAGAGCTGTGAGAGGAGCACAGCAGGCTCCACCTACTACAGGCTGCCTGCAGAAAACTGCAGGAGTGGGCGGAGACAAGACCAGAGCAGAGCTGTGAGAGGAGCACAGCAGGCCCCACCTACTACAGGCCGCCTGCAGAAAATGACACCGGGAGGCAGAGACAAGACCAGTCACCCTGCAAAAGAAGAGAGAAGATTTCTGCACAGATCTGGAAGAAATACACAAAGCTCACCAAGATTTAACTAAGAATACACATGGCTCTTGTATGAGGACAATATTTGCTGACCTGGAGTTCAGCTTTAAACTTCCTTACTCAAAGCCCATTATGAGAAACGATTCCATGATCCCCCAGCCTTACCTCCACAGCCTTAAAGGGTGTGGAGGTAACCCCAAAGTGATTGTGTTGTACATGGACCCCAGTGGGTGGATGGAGTCACCTACTGGTATCACATATCCTGTGAGGATTGTAACTCTGGGATTTTCTTGCTGTCACTGTCATCTCTGCCCCCCCCCGGCTTAAAGTCTCACTCCTTCTGCTACCAAAGAGAATGCTCCTTGGTGTCCTGACTCCTCTATAACGCACAATCCAGCAGGGAGGAGAGCGGGACCTCCTTGTCATTGTTGCAGCAGCTGTGCAAATAGGGGAACTCAAGCATGAAGACCTCAACACCACTGAAGACCCCGGGGGACCGAGGAAACCATTAAATATTTTATCTCTCCAGCATCTACCAGAAATGAAAAGACTACCAGTGGTCCCTGGAAGCCTGGCTAGCCCCCTCTGCCCCATGGCAGGGAAACGGACAGAGCCAACACCATCTCTCCATTCAATATTTTTATTAGATTTGAAAGATTTCAATGAATCATCAAAAAAATAATAAATGCACATTTTTCTCTTTTATGAATGTGTGTGTATTTATTTATTTATTTATTTTTAAAGTGGATTTTAGCTTTAAAGCGATATTAAAGACGATATTGAGGAAAACTTTGTTTGAACGCTTGCAGTGGGGCTACCCCAGCACTGCAAGGGTTAAGGGCTCGTTTGTGTCTAGGGACAAAAATAACAAAGATATATACCTGGAGCTCGGAGCCGGCCAGCTGTCACAGCGCTCCCTCCAGCCTGTCTCCCCCTCCCTGCAGCATTGGTATCTTCCTCAGCGTCTTCATATCTATACACTGTGTAATAGGGTTGCCACCTGTCCAGGATTCACCCGGACAGTCCGAGTTTTGGAGGCTGTGTCCGGGTTTAATGGCAGCAGAAACCCAGACACAAGATGTCAGGCAGACAGGGGCAACCAAAATTAAGACAGGGGCTACTGGCCCCCCCACTGAAAATAGTCTCATGTGTGATATTCACATCTGAATGGGTGGCGCTATTTACATGTGAACATGCCATGGTTCATTCTCACAAACAAATGTCCGCTCGTCTCTAGAGTGTTCAGGTTTCGCTTGAAGAAAAAGTGGCAACCCTACTGGGTATAGATGTGATGATTTACAGGACATTAGACCGCTTTGGGTGAGTATAACTTTTTCTTGCATTCCAGATATACATGAGCAGTTAAAGGAGAACTATGAGGTGAGTGAAAATCACCCACCCTCATAGTTCAAGCCGACCTGTGACAATGGAACTGTCACACGTCGGCTCAATAGATCGGGAAGTGAGTGAACGCATACCGTCGCTTGCTCACTTCTCGATCATCTCCCTGCAGAGAGTGGTGATTGTCAGTCACCTTTCCATGCAGGGATTAACCCCTCCCCGCTCCGATTCTCCAGCGCTGACTGGAGGAACGGACGGGGAGGGGGGTGGGCACAGCTGGCTCTGCCTCTAGATAGGCGGAGCCAGCTGTCTCTCACACAGCTGGGTGGATCTCAACAGTAATGCCGGGATCCGTCCCAGCTGTGGCGCTCTCAGTATACCACCAGCTATGGCTCGCGATATACTGAGCTTTGGGTCACGGGAGGACACTAGTTTATGTCCTCCCGTGACCCTTAAGAGAACTATGGGGAAAAACACTTACCCCATAGTTCTCTTTTAACCCTTGCAGGGCGAGGGTAGACCCACTGCAATGGGT